CAGTTGGACGTTGTGCAGAAAGAAGTCGTCTGCGGTTTCCCCACTGAGACGACGCCAGATGGACATGTTGCCCAGAAAAGACTCTGGTATAGTCTCCTGAGTCGGGGTCTTTATAGATAAGCACCCTGCTTATCTATATCTGCAATAGCAGGCGCTGATGCAGCCCGCCAACACCTTTTCGCCTTTCTCAACAGCCGATTCGGCTTTCGGCCAGCTCAACTTCCTGTCGAGGGTCGGCAAAAGTAGTCGCAAGTTTTCTTTCAGTTCCACCCCAGACACTTTTCATGTCTTCTAGCTTCTTGTGCAGTCAGTGGCGAGGCGACGCACCAACACTACTTAAATGTGTCACCATGATAAATTCCCCAACACACAAATGACCATGTATGTCAGAGACAGGCTTGTAGTGGAGACATCTCTCTGCAGAGCTGAGACTTCGCTCATACGAACACTTCGGGATTTATTTCCGGACGCTTCAGCTTGAGCTTGAAGTGAGAGCAGTTATCCTGCTGGGATTTTATTGATTGTGGCTGCATGACAAGTTCACAAGCAGTGCTATTTGAAAGCTTGAAGGTCACACAGATCTATGTGTGACTCCTGACTTTGGCCTTTATACACGGAGATTTCTTTAGAATCTCTTGATTCTCAGCAGACACACTGAAAGAATCTGGTTCTTCTAAACCACAGGTGTCAAACTCCAGTCCTGGAGGGCCACTGCCCAGAAACTTGTAGATGTTCCTCTGCTGCACCACACCTGAAAAGAATAATTAGGTCATTAAGGCTCTAGAGAACTGATCTACACAAGGAAGACATATTGAAGCCATTTCATTCCAGTGTTTTGTACCTGTGGCACATTTAAAAACTGCAGGACAGCGTCCCTGGCGGACTGGACTTTGACACCAATGATCTTAACAGTTTCTTTCCCACTGACTGATGAAAAATTCTCCACGCTTTCTGTGTTTCTGTGCGCTAGATATTCTCTCGATTTCATTCAATTCAGATTTCACTCAAGGGAAAAAGGCTTACATTTATTGAGCGCCAAAGAAGTCGTTTTAGTTCAATTGGTCGCACATTCTAATTATTATTGGTCACTAAATGGTGCATTTAGCTCAGTTCATTAATCAAATTAGCTTAAAAAATAAATTAAGCTGCAAGCAGCCTTGAACGGCGACCGCGGGAGTCCCAGCACCGCCACCCGCTTGCCATTGTGGACACTCTGGCGCGGTTCCTCCACCCGTCCGGAAAGCGATATGCATGCATATGTTCGGCAGCACTTCCTTTATTTTCTTGGTGCGTTAGAAAAGTAAATGAACAAATGTCATGCATTGAGCCAATCTGTGACTGCTTAGACCTTTCCCATCAGCAGCAGGTCAGAGGATCATTAAAGCCCCCTGAGGTGTCAACCATATTATTAAAGCAAACCTTCAGGTAACCTATAATTAGTCTAACAGGTCTGACAAATTGGTTTCTATACATGTCTCTAAAAAACACAGAGGGTATATGTGCAAAAAAAAAAGTTCCATCAAATGCCTTCAAATAAATCCCTGAGTCTGGAGTTTGGATTGTTTTGCTTAAATAACTCAATAAACAGTTACAAGAATTTAAAAGAAAAATGATAGACTTCTGCACGCTGCCCCACTGAGTGGTTTGCTGCAGGTGGTTTAAAGAGAGTTGGAGGGATGCGTTCTGTGAGGAAGCTGCTGTGACAGAAACGGCTCCACTTTCCCACAGCACAAACAGCATAATGAAACTCTCCACCAACGGGGGTTCTTCTCAGGTGTCATTGTTCTGTACAGTAATGTGCCGTTAGCTCCGACTCAGAGCTATTTCAACTTTGATGTTTTTCGCCGTGCAGCTCACAACAACTCTGTTTTTAAGGGAGAATGAAGAGTAACATCCAACGCCTGGAAAGCTCAGCAGTGGCAGAACAGCAGGATTTGGAATCAACTTAAATTCAACATGGCTGATTTTAACTCTTCCATGTTGTCAGAAAACAACGTTGTTGATCATTTTGTGATCGACTGCAGCAAAGCAGACCATTATTTTAGACTTTTTATAATCAAATCCACCTTTGCCTGTGGTTAACATCCGTAGGTCTGTTGAGGTATGTCTCCCAGATTTATGTCCCCTCAGCATGATGCAGCCACAACTATGCTTCACAGTGGGGTGAGGCGTATTCAGGATGATGTAAGAGACAGTTTTCTGCCACATAAAGCAGCCATGTTTCCACTGCAACTATGCATAAAGCTTTGTTGATATTCTGCTAATATATATTAAAAAAAAGATAAACTATTTAGCAATGGAGGTGTTTCCATTAAGTAAGAAAATCAGACATGAACAAGTTTGTCCATGTGATAAGTTATTAAAAAAGCATGCCTCGCCTCCATCTTCTAACTACTTCCTCTTGTCTTCTTTGTGGTTTTTGTCAGTAGCAACATTCCATTCCAGCTTCGGGAGAAATAAATAAATCTACGTGGAGCCAGAAACTCATCTCATCAGTCTTTTTTTTTTTTTTTTTTTTCAAAAATTGTCGCCTTTTTATCAGATTCATTTATTTTTGCATTTCCGATTTGTGGAGTTTTAAGGTCAATGGATATGTAGCAAATTGAAATGACAGAAGCACGCATGGTTTATGGAAATGGCAGTTTTGAAAAAACTGAATTTTTTGCTAACAGTTTTTGAGAATTATTGCATCGAAATTTGTGTATTTTGCAAAATTGCAGTGGAAACATTTCCCCCCCCCCCATCACACAAATTTGATGGGGGGCAATGAGATAAGCTCATTGCCCACAGATAAGCAATGAGCTTATCTTTGGGCTCATTGCTTATAGATAAGCATTATCATCTGTTATGATCATGCTTATCATTACAGATAAGCAATGCGCTTATCTGTAGGCACTGGCTCCTCCAGAGCTCCCTCAGCGTCGCTCCCTTCATCAAAAGTTGAGTTTGTCATTCCATAGTGTTGAATCCAGAACTCCTCTGTAATGCCACTAACTACAACTTCCAAAGACCCTATTTTAAGAAAAAATATTGGAAATCTTCAATCGTTCTTCAACTTCACAACTACCTGCTACCTTTTTGGTGTAAAATCTCAATGACACACATTGAAGTTTGTAATTTTAGTGGGAAACTGAATATAATCTAATGACTTCAGAGCTTTGATTCCTAGCAGCAGGCGTAGAATAATTGGACAGGTGGAGAAAACGTAAAATATAGGAAAACAAATGGAAAAAATTCTAATTATGAATTAATCCCTTCTTTTCACTACAGAAATACACACCTCAACATTTATTACGCTTCCTTCGACAATACATGACAAGCAACAAGAATGCTTCAGATTTCTGCCCCGTTAAGGCATCCAAATGAAATGAATGACTTACAGCCAAGCCTCTTTTTGAATTTGACGACATTTTGAGGAGGTAATTAATCCTTCTGATTGGTGTGATTCAGAACTTTTAAAACGCTGCCCCTCAGGGACCAGATTCAGACCCCCCTGCTGCACAAAGCCTATTTCCCGCTCCTTTAAAAGGTGCAATTATGTGGTTTTACGAGTGTTTTACTTTCTACTCCCCCACCTATATAGTCACTTTAAGCTGTTCCTACAAAAACATTTTGTTTTGTTTCAGCCATGATTCACAGCGCTACAGGACTCTTGAATGCAATTAATCCCAATCAAAGCACTACGGTTTATAAGCGTATCACTGAGACCATTGCTACCTCAGCCGTCCTCTGCAGGTAGCTGTTTGAAGAAGTGCTGGTTCCCTATTGAACAGTGATCTTATCTTCCCTTAGGTCAATGTCAATTCCTGTCCATTTTCCTCAATGTGTCTGAGCTTCAGCAGTTTCCCCCGATCGAGAAAGACCCAAACAGCCAAATATAAAGTTTTCACCTGTACTGTTCTTAAACTGTAAAGAGAGTGTGCCGTTACTGGTGCATGTCTGATGCAAAGGCAAGCTAACACCTTTCTCTAATCAAAACTCCAAAGACAGAAGACCGATGTCAGGAGGTTAATTGACCGTCAAAAGGGTGAAACTGAAACCAAGACAAAGAACATAATAAATACGTGAAGAATGCACTTCTGCGCTCAGTTTCTGCCAGATGCCACCCTAAATAGATCTATAAATCTATGCTGCCAACCCCCTTTTGGATAACCTCTCGGATCGTGTTGATTTGCATAAGAAACTTATTGTACAGTCAAATTAGTAAGCTACATCTGGCACGGCAATCATCCCACAGAATTACTCATGGAGTGCGTACCAGCAATGCAGCTATAAATGACAGATGTCTGCAGATATTCACCCTAACCAGACCTCACAAAGTGGGTACTGGCGCCCTACTGTCTGCTTGACTGCTACTGCTGTTCAATACAGTTTTGTTTCAAATAACCAAAGGTTGCTGGGTTGCAATTCCTGTAAAGAGCACATGAGGACAGGTGTAACGAACTCTGATAAGGATCAAAAAAATAATCATAAAAAAAGCAAAATCTGGTCCGCCTGAAAACCTCGGACTTTGTTTGGCTGAAGTGAACTATGAAGCAGCTTGAATGCATATGTGACTACCGAGTGGACCAGAGACCACTCCAAAAGCAGGAAGTGGACTACAGTGAGAGGCATCCTGGGTAAATACAACTAAAGCAAAACAGCTACCAGGAGAAATGACTAGTAGTTTGTTTTTTTTTACCAACAACAAAACACTAAGATCTGATGACACTCCATCTTTTGTTTACATTTTGAGAAGAAGGAAGTTCCATTCATCCCTTTTTTCAGAAGTTTGAGTTGTTTCCTTCGATGGCTCTTGTTGCAGCGCCTCCCCAGGCGAGGAGGAAAAACAGGTTTTTCCAACAGTTTCGTTGGTTTGACACAAAACACACTGGCTGAAAATGTAACAAACATTGCAATTTTGATCCACAATAGAACTGAATCTGTCAATCAGCTGTGCAACATTTATTATTCCGACATTAAGCACATGTTTTTAATCTTGCTTTCTGCCTTGCCCTCAGGGTGGCCCTTCTCCAACACAGTGTGCAAGATGAGTGGGTTTGTGCAGGGCGTGTCCGTGTCGGCCTCGGTCTTCACCCTGGTAGCGATTGCCATTGAAAGGTGAGTTTGGCAGGTGGCTGGAATCCCAGAGTAATAATTTAACTATAACAACTCAATAGAACTGTGACTGCCAATCTAATTTCCTGAAAAGTTGGGTGAGTTAGTTTCAGATTAGTCACATTTTGATATATATGAAGTAGATAGTCACCAGCCGGCCTGAAGCCCTGCAAGGATAAGAAGACAGAAGCAACAGATGGAGGGGGATTTTTCAACGGAACATTCTCTGTTATCTGTGCTTTTGTATATTTTTATTTTATTTTTTGTGGGCTTTGAGGGCATTTTCAGATCAATTTTCTCAAATATAGTAATTGTGGTGCAAATAATTGAAGACGTTAAGCCAGCTTTTGCTGGAGGTTGCTTGTTAAAACGGTTTTCCTCTCCACTGTCGCCACTTTCATCCTCAATGTGAGGAATTGCTGAAATATCCAAGACTCACCGCGTTTAGTGGAGTTTTCCTAAATCTAAACCTTTTTTCTTTTTTACCGATTGGTGTAGTAAACTGAACAAACCACCTATAATTGCTTGATTTTTTTGTTCATAAAATAGAGGAACATTTTTTAAAATTTCGTCCTTATTTGCCCATTTCTGCACGGATTTTGAAGCCAGAGCTTAAATAGGCCACAGGAAAATCAGCTGATTTACTGTCGTCACGTGTTGCTCCGACTCTTTTAGCAAAAATATTTTGTTCAGTCTTGGAAAGCCAGTTAAAGCTGAAGTATGTAAATTTGATCAAAAATATATTTTTTACATATTGGTTAAAATATCTGTCATGACAGTTTGGTATGAGACAGATAATCTGTGAGAACAATGAACCTCCTTCGCCTTCTCGCAGTGATGTCTGGAAACAACCAATCAGAGGAGGCAGGTCTTAGCGCTGTCAATCACCCCTCTGTGTGGTGCTGCTCAGCCCTCCCTGCTTGCAGAGCTTGAACTGACTTCTAAGCCTGGTTAGCATGGTCGCTGCTGACCGTGGATCAATGGCTTTTTCTGTAACGGTAAGTAGTTTCTCCACAATTAGCATGTTTAGCAGCAAGTACATGACGTGAACCGGCAGCGCTAAGACCCGCCTCCTGGCTCTGATTGGTTGTTTTTGGTGCATTTATCAGACAGCAGTAGTAGCCACAAGAGGAAATGCAGAAGATCAATTTCTTCACAGATTATCTGTCTCATAACATTCTGTCACAACGGTTTGAACAAATATGTAAGAAAAAGTTATTGTTTATAAAAGTTGCCTACTGCACCTTTAAAGGACCAGTTGTGAAGTTCTTAAAAACAGAAATGTCCTGATATGTGATTGTGCCTTGAGCCTTCCTAAGTACTAATAAATTACCAAAATCAACCATAAAAATATTTTTTCTGAATTATTAATTCCAAAGAATATGGTTCTTGAACCAGCTGTTGCAAATATTGTGGAAAGATTCAAAACATTTAAAACATATATTGGCACAAAAAAAGGCCAAAACCAGAACCACTGCAGAATATCAGTGACCTTTAGAGTCTGAGCTGATGGTGCATTAGCAACTGTCAATGCATTAAAATATATCAGACTCCAAACCCAACACAAACAAAATCCCCCCACTGCTATTCATCACAACTCTGCCACATCCACAGGAGCAATATATGAAATCATCTGCACTGAAAATCCAAATACAGATGCATCAAATTTAATGTTTCTTCTTCCAGAGTTTGGAGAAATATTATACAGTGTTCTCAGAAGTCATGCCCTCTATTTGCCAGGGATCTAAGCTGATCCATCTTCTATATAGTAAGGAACTTAGATTTCCCCTGACGATTGAAAGGGAAAGCTTGTGATTTCTCCCCCTTGTTCTTCACACATCCATCATGTCTCCTCTTCTGCCGGGATGCACACTTGTAATCAAGGCAGGTGTGGGAATTTGGTGACCCGAAGCTGCTGCCTCTCAGTGTAAACAGAGACCCTTAATATTGCCACAGGAACGCACTATAAGAGGTGTTAAGCAAACTGTAGCTCCGCAAAAAGTCAAACATTGTCAATCATTATTTCAAGACAAAAAAAAGAGAAAATATTGCAAATGTTTAGAGAAATCTACGATAAATAAGAAAACCATAGCAAACTCTTTAGAGAGGTCACATTGTCACCTTCCTAAAATAATAATAATAATAAATCAGCACCTCTTTCTTTCCAAAAAATGTCTTTTAGGCAATAAGGAAAAGAAAAACTTTTGGCAAAGATTTATTGGACATTATTTTAGGAAGGTGAGGACATTAACCATTAACCAGCCGGGTTGCAAAGAAGGATGCACCAATTGCAATTTCCTAGCCAATTACTGAGCTTTAAAAAACCTGATTCCGATTTTGGCCAACAGCAATTTTTCCTTGAAAAGTTGCCAAATTGGCAACATTTGAGTTGACTTTGTTTACTGGCCGGGTGGGCGGGTCTGTTAGTCAAACCTCTCTCGGTGGCTGGTTGTCAGACCCTTTTACAGGTAGATAAAATCGGGTTTCTGGTGTTGATTACCAGCCAATTGCAGATCACACAAAATGAAGAAAATCTGCGTTGATTTTTCAGTGCCCCCTTAGTAACAAACTGCAATCCTAGAGGAACAAGTCCGATGTGTCTCTGTCTCATCACACCGGACAATAATGGCCAAATTAGCAAGAGTTTCTGGAGCTCATTCTTCCTTTAGATTCAGGTGTGCAGAACCAGAGGCACAAATAAAACTTGAAAGACTGGACCAGAGTTTTACCCATCCAGTCATTATCCAGTTCACCAGGTCAACACAGAGGCAGTCAGGACAAGCAGCCATGCTCACACTCACACCTGAGGACAATTTAAAGACCAATTAACACTCATGCTGTTTGACCCACACATACAGGAGAACAAGCAAACTGCAGGCAGAATGGTTCCAGACAGGGATTCAAACCCAGGACCTCCTTGGTGCAAGGCGACCGTCCTACCAACTGCTGACTCTGAATCAACAAGTGATCTACAAACATGCCAGTCGCATTTTGGTTCCAAAATGTATATGCAACTTGGAGACATTTCCAGAAAAGTCTCAAATCTTTCAGGAAATGGGTTTCTGCAGATGAGCACATGGCAACAGTCCAGATATAGCAGAAGCCTTGCTGTGGATAAGCAGGAAGACATTTGGATCATGAATGTACACAGAGGGAGTGCATGCATTAAAGTCTTGACTCTATTTTTCTTTGTGTCCTCATTAATTAGCAGCATTGCTCTTCTCTGCCTCTCCACTGCAGGTTCCGCTGCATTGTGTATCCTCTCCAGCCCAAGCTGACTCTGCTCGTTGCCAAAGTAGCCATTGTGTCCATCTGGGTGTTAGCCGTGGCTATTATGTGTCCCGCGGCAATAGCCCTGACTGTGGAGAAAGTCCCTTTCCATTACATGGTCTACAATGATGACTTCAATCACACGCTGCCCCTTTACACCTGCTATGAAAACTTTGCCAACCCCCACATGAGAAAGGTCTACACGGCGGTTCTCTTCGCCCACATCTACCTGGTTCCCCTCGCCGTGATCACGCTGATGTACGTGAGCATCGGCGTCAAACTCTGCTCCCCCGTTGTGGCGAACCGAGAGCCCCAGTTGGGAAACATCACGGTCCAGCCGGGAGGCAGGAGACACGCTCAGCAAGTGATCTCCCAGAAAAAGATCAAGGTCATAAAGATGCTCATCGTGGTGGCGTTGCTGTTCATGCTGTCCTGGTTGCCCCTCTGGACCCTCATGATGATGGCGGACTATGGTGGACTGGACAGGGACCAGCTGGACCTCCTCACCAGCTACATCTTCCCCTTCGCCCACTGGTTGGCCTTCTCCAACTCTAGCGTCAATCCCATTGTCTATGGCTACTACAACAAGAACTTCAAGCGGGGCTTTCAGGCGGTGTGCAAGACGAAGCCCTTCTGCTGCGTCGCCTGGCTGCAGTGCAGAATGCCTCGATGGGGACGGAGAGGAAGATCTGCACAAGCGCTGTCGGAAGGGACCGAACTGAGGGATGGCAGCAACAACCACAGCAACTTTCTGTTGGGACTAAGAAACCGCGTTCACAATGACAACAAACTGAGCGAAACGCCAGAAATAAATAGGAGCTCGAGAATGGGGTGTATGGGGGTCCACAAAGGCAGAAGTCTCTCTGATCAGGGGATAGAAATGGCAGCCATACATAAGAAAAGCAGTAATGACGAAGGCTCTGAGAAGGTCAGCTCACTAGCGGTTTCAGTCTATCAGGCATGGGATAACTGAGATATACCTGGAACAAAATATGAACCAAACAAAGCCATAACACAGTGCATTGGTAAAGACGACGTCATTATTAGGATTCTCACTCAAAGCCCACAAACCCTGGATCAAGTCTAAACATTCAAGTTAAAGCTGCAGTATATATATATATATATATATATATATATATATATATATATATATATATATATATACTTTTTCCATATTTGTTAAAAATTTGAGACAGATAATCTGTGAAAAAAAATCAAACTCCTCTGTCTCAGTTGTACAGAAATACAGCACTCAATTAGAAACAACCAGTCAGAGCCAGGAGGAGGGTCTTATGGTGCGTTCACACCAAACGCGTTTTCGAGCGTCTAGCGCGGCACAATTTGAACCGTTTCGAGTGTTTGACACGTCGAGCTCATCCAACCTTGTCCGACGCTCCACAGAGACTTTGAATGTAAACCAGACGCGTCTGACGCTCAAAAGACATTTGGCGCGAGCGCACCAAAGGTGCACACTCGCCGAACTTGAAGCGTCAACGTGTTTGAACGCGCCATTAGTGCCCCCTATCAGTTTCAAGAAATATTTTTGTAAAAGGTACAGCTTTAAGTCGTTCCAGCTGAATGTTGCTGCCTCTTTGCATGCATGGTGAAATGAAGGGGTAAAACACTCCATTGTGGGTGTTGTAAGCAAATGCCTGTAGAAGAACACAATCTTGAATAAAACCCAGATCAAACTATCGAATGTATGAGGAGACAACAAGGCGACTGGTCAGAGCTGAAATCATCAGTGACTTCAAATGGAAACACAAACTAAACATACATTCATGTAGTTCTGAGATATTATGCGCCATATTGTCAAGGACGTTTCAGCTTAGCTACGAAAAGCCTTCAAGAAGAACCGCAGAACCTTTGAGGCTCTTGTATGAAAGTAATTTTAAAGAAAATGTGTGCATATTAAATGTTACACGTCAGTCTGCTTAATGGATGCAAAATGACTATTAAAAGCATTAAATGTAACCTTAACATGCACTCTAGTCAGTGAAAAAAGAGCCTCGTCACTCTGCCACTATCCTTTGTATCAAATAATTCTCCCACTCCATTCATGTACATTAAAGATCAGCGTCTTTAATGCTGACCTGTACATTACGGAGCATTTACGTTCTCATTTCAGCTGCCATGCCTTCCTTTCTTCTCCGACAGCTCCATTACAGCCATTCTCCTCGCCGTGCTTTCATTCTGAACCGCTACGTTACGCTCAGCTTGTTCTCTGTCGTGAAACAATGTCGGAGATTGTAACATAAAACAGCTAGCATTCACTCAAAAAATGTGCCTTTAAAGAAAGTCAAACTACCTCTGTTTGTAAATGCACAAAAGTCAGTGAAAACTCTGCTTTCATACACAAGAACTCAAAAAAAAAAAAAAGAACCTGTCAGTCGACTACCTCAACTCACACCAGGGTAATTTGTATATAGACTCAATCATCAAGCCAGTTTAGCACAACCAGCTTCAATTTTTGAAATAAAACAAACAAAAAAAAATCTAAGTTCCATTGCAAATCCTTGCTGATCATAAGAACTTTACATCATGTAATGTTACATAAGCCTCCACCTTCACTCTGAGTTGCTCTGACTTAAAGCTTGAATCCCACAATGAGATAAAACTTCATCTCATTTAAATAAGCGTGTGTGTAGAGTACCGCACTTTAAACCCCAGGTGGTCAAAAGACAGAGAGAAGTAAAGAAACGAGTCAAAAAAGATGGAAAAACTGCAGAGAGCGACTTCATCGGTCTGTAACAGACCAAAACTCCCACAAAATACCAAACAGTGGTGCATTAGCAGCAGCTGCAATTCCAAGTACCAGAATCTTGCACGATTTGACATTTTGAAAATAAATTAACTTAATTACGACATAAATTTTTCGATTTAGATTTTGCCACCAAGATGGCTTTTCTTTGGCAGTGTCGAAATTTGTTTATGCTGCAAATCTGCAACGGAAATGTTTGTTTTGCATCAGGTGAGTCGCAAACCACGAAGAAGAAGACAGGAAGCAGGAGGATGACCTTTGTTTAGTGACTCAACGCGTGAACAAACGTATTCACGTGTGACTTTCGTTGCATTTCCTATTTATTGGAAACACCACAATTGAGTTATTCCTACGATAGCAGAATATTGGCAAAATTTTGCACACATTTGTCATGGGAAGCTGTTCAAATAAAGGAGAATAAAGATTCAATGACATCGTTCTTAGTTTGCCTTTCCGGAGAGGAGAAAAAATGATTCAGTATTTTTACCCAAGTATAGAGAAGGAATCTCTCTACACCAGCTGTCACATAAACTTTGCAAAGTTTTCAGGTGCGAGAATTAAAAACCTAAAAAAGTTCTTGAACACATGAAAGAAAACGTGTCAAAAGAAACCAAAGTAAAAATGAACAAAGCGCTAAAGTAAGAGTAAAAAGTAGAAAATTTGAGCTGAAGCCAACATAAAGTTCAATTTATAAACAATTTTTAAACAGTACAGCTTACGAGACGTCGCCTAATTTAATGTTCTTACTTGTTCTAATGCAAATGTGTTCAGATGCATGAACAAACTAACTGCACATTTGAATAATATGCAAATTGCTGCGGGAAATTAGAAGGATTCATGATGAATAACTCGAGCTTATTCACGTGCAACTTTCTGACATTACGCATACTGAAAAGGCAGTCTGAACTGATGATCATGATGACTTGCTGCTGACTGAGTATCTTTCTAGGAACTTGGATGGATTTAGACTATATTTACGTTTCAGCACTAAGATGCCTCTTGCGGTGAAGATGTAAACAACCGCAGCCGGGCACAGCAAGAGACTCGTACTTTTGCTGCAGAATTTACACATGAGCCAAGAAAAATTTGTTAAAAATCCTCACAGTTCTCTGACAGAGCTGCTTGAAGTCATGGTGAAGGGTTGGCACGGTGTCACATTTTGGGGGTGTTTTGGGCTGAATTCCAGCTGTCCAACCACTCTGAAGTGTAAAACTTCTCCATGGAAGTTGTCAGCTTGCATTTACTTCAGTTCGCTGCACCCAGCTTTCAGGTAGTCGAGGTTGGTTCCCTTAATGACGGCGGCAGAGCATCCAGGCTGTCTGGAGCGGCTCAGCTCACGCCGGAAGCATCGCTGTGCAGACCTGCAGAGGAGTTTCTCAGCTGTGCACAAAGTCTAAGCAGACAAAATGGATCGGCACCGTACGGATGTACTTGCACTGTAGACCACCGACGTGCTGTTTGGGTACACTACTCGCAAAACGTCAGAGATGTTCTCCTTTTGGCTGAAATTTCAATCTGAGATTCAGAGCAACCTTTGCAGGCGAACTTAAGGCGACCTTCTCTAAACAATCAATTTCGCAGGTCCGACTGTTCAATGCTTCTCTGCTTTTTGCGCAACTTTCTGTTCTGTAACAAGGAGCCGGACAACAAAATTCACAACAGGTGTTTGAGCCATTGATCAACCAATCAGAATAGGTTTTTAAAGAGTCCTCCTTATCATATCATTCATATTTTGAATAGTATGATATTGACCATAAATCTTAAATAAATCTTAGATATACAAAGAACACCAGCAGTTCTTTGTATATAAATGTACAAAAAACTATCATTTCTGTTTCGTCAGAAATTCTTTTGCTTATCTTTGTTTTGTCCAAGTGGGTTCATCCCTACCTTTTTGTGAGCAGCATTAGCATTAGCAGGATGCAAATGGACATTAAATGAGGACATCAACATGGAAGTAAGAAACTCTTCAGTCAATGCGGTGAATGAAAAACTACTGACCTCAACTCACCTTTAGATAAGAGTTCCTCTTTGCATCAGGCGAACCCCCAGCCTTTCTCACAGAACCCAACATGAACTATGCACCTCAAAGTGGTTTTCCCAAGTCATGACACAGGGTTAAACCCGTTGCCAGTATCCATGGGGGTGAACAACCCCAGGCCTGCGTGGTGTGAAGCAGATGTGGCTTAATGTTGGCTCGCCATAAACTCAAAGCCAGATTCCTAATTATAAATGCTTTGGTAATCTGGCTGTGCCTTGCTGTGTTCCCAAAATGAACAGGGATAAAGTGCATTGAAAAAAACAACAACCATAAAACTGAACAAATGTGAAGCATGATGACATTACCTTTATCGCAAACTCTGAGCAGATGTGATTACTGTACAAATGGTACGTTTATAGTTCTGTTTTTATCATAAAGATGATTGTAAAAGCAAATAAGGTGAAGCAAGAACAATGTATAAATCTTCTGTGTGGAGAAATAAACCTTATTGCTTCTTTTCTCAAATAGTGCAAAGAGAGACAAACGACCAACGTGGATTCCTTTTCGTTTCCAGTGTCGACGCTTTGATGTTCGGTTCCGTCCTGTGAAAATCCAGCGAGGCTGGAAAAGTCGGGACGGAAAAACATTCGCAAATATTTCGGTCCAACGGCGATTTTGTTGGTTCGCAGTTTTGTCGTGGACTGGTGACTAACGTGGTGTGAATATTTCCAGGTCTGTGTCTTGTGTCTTCAATAGCAGCGTCGTTTTCCATCCGAGCGTCTGGCCGTGTCTTCAAACGAAGGCGTGCTGACGTACTCCAGCGTCATAGACCGAGAATGTTCCGCTCAAAGCCCACAGTGGGCTTTTGTATGCTGTCGAACATTTTTTGTGAATGTATTACAGATGTCATAAAAAAAATAGAAATTGAAAGTAAAAAAAAAAAAAAAAAAAAGCCCTGTATGATTTATTTTTCCCCTCCTGTGAGTCAGTGCTCCCTGATGAAAACTCAGGAAAAGCAAATGTTTCGGTCCGTGTCTGTGGACAGCGTGTCGCGGTCCTCTGGGCTTTCTTGTGTCGTGGAACGCCGTGTTGTGAAGCTCGCGACTGCTCTTCCTCTTCGACCCCCACGTGCTTCTCTTGGCGTCACTTGTGTTGCTGAGTTTCTATATTTAAACCTGTTTTTGGTCCTTTTATTTGTTCAATTATTTGTTTGCTTTAATGGCATCGATGAGAAAATGTCTGACAAGCTGCAACCTTTAATAAACCAGCGATATTGACTTTGACTCCCTGTGATTTCTTCCAATTAGACTCTTAAGATTTTAAAGCAGGCATTCTACAGTG